CAGTAGTAGTCTTCTCGAATCTGTACAACCTAGTGAGATTTCAGTTTTATTGAACTGAAGATGAAAACAAGTGTCATTGAAATTTGAAGGGAATTCTTGCCGAATTCTTACTATACATTGGATGAATTTTTTGAGGGTCATTTCTAAACATTATCTTTGTATTTTTTCTCTTTCTCTTCGTACTGTTTTTTAAACATGTCACTTATTTACTCAATTTTATTTTTACTCATGTAAAACTTACAAATTAACAGACATACTATTTGAGTATGTGTCCAAGTGTGTATATATTTGTGTACATGTATAAATGTATGTGTATATGTGCTAACAATTTATTAACATTATACAGTTTTACATAGTTCAACAGAAAAATCTTTGTCGACAAGATGTATTCCTTATGACATTGAACGCATCTCTCTCTCTCTCTCTCTTAATGTAGGTGACAGTTAACATAATCAACTATTTACGATACAGCCCACTCAAAATATCAATTGATTGTGTAGAATATTTGTTATTGCTTGACTTTCGAGAATATAAAGTTTGTGACGAGCTTAATAAAAAGTAAAGTGAATTATTTCTATGAAAAAACTCTTCAACAGCTTCATACCTTTGAAGTTCAGTATTTGAGGATTTCCATTGAGAATGATTTCCATATTTAGAATGATTTCTACTTTCCATGTATCAACTCGACGGCACTACCTCAACTGCAGCAACCTTGTGTACACGACGGTATTCAGGCCGGAGAAACTGAATCGATAATGGTGGAAAGAAAACGAAATGTACAATCGAGGATTTTTTTAGCAAGAGTTTTCTTTGACTATTACTTATATTGATACTGGTTTTTCGGGGGGCTCAGTCTGATATAGATTCTCAGGCCAAAATGATCAGGTTCACAAATTGGAATGTCGAAGTTATTCTGTCGTCTGAGGAGTTAAAGTTGAAGTAACCGGTATTGTGCATACTTAAAGGTGTCGGCGCTCTCAAATGCCAAAAAAATCAATACAGAGAAATAAAACCGCTGCAAACTAGTCCACGTGGACTGAATCATTCGCGGTTCGTATTGGAGAATTTTTATTAACCGAGTTTTATGATTGGCTGAAGGGTCATAAAATTAAATTTGAAGTCAAGTTACGGTGACCAACAGAATGTAGCGATGAGTACCGCCGTTGTGTCATCATTGTTGAGTTCAGGAACTGATCGCGATTTGAGTGTTGAAATTCGAGATTAGTGCAGTTATGATTACTTAAAATTTTGTTATCTGTTTAAAATGTGGCATCCTTGGCCAGGTACTAATAGTAATACCGAGTGTGATAACAACGCAGACTTTTTCTTGTCTAATGATTCCGATAGCGATGGGGAACAATGCGTAAAAGAGATATCAGAGAATAAGATTCCGATGCATTTGAATATTGAAACACAGAGAGTATGTTTCAATGTATATAAGAATCTACATCTCGAGTTTGCTTTCGAGTGAAACAAACTATTGCAAGAAACATCAGATTTGACCGAAATTCCTTTCTCAACTGTACATATTTACGAAAGGGTGGCACCTACGACACATTTACGAAAGGGTGGACTGATGGTTCGAGAATGTGTACGCCTTACATGCCTGCAAACAAAGGATCGCGACCAATCATTGTGCATTGTGGGGGAAGTAAAGGATGGGTTTCCTATTCTTTCAAATTATGTGGAAACAAACTTGAGGACTGAAATGTTGACTATCATAAGAACATGTAAGCTAATATTTTTGGGAAATGGTTTGAAAACACATGGATCCCAAATTTAGATGCGAATAGTGTGATAATTCTTGACAACGCTTCCTATCATTCGCGACCGCTCATCAACGTACCGAATAAAAAGTCGAGGAAAGATGAAATACAAAGTTTTTCAATGGATATTAATTTGTGTTTTGAAGATAACTATACCAAAAACGACCTACTTGAAGTCTTAAAGACACGTCGTTGTCTATGGTCGTTTACCTTCAGTTCCATGGTCAGTTGAATTTTGTAAACGGGTGCAGACCCAAGTCACGACGCAAAATTCGTGAAATGAAAAAAAGCGCGCGGTACGTTGTCTGAACAGAACACCCATTTTGATAAAAGAATTTTGTTATTTCTGTTGCTGAATACTATATCCGTCCATGGTGATTTGGCAATGACAAATGATTTGACAGATGCAGCTTCAAGAAAACGGCCGTTATCAATTGTAAAAGTTCAGAAATCCATGAGGGAAGACCCGTTATTTGACATTCGTGAGTCTTTTGTGGTAATCATAGAAAGGGGTCTTCGTCGCGCTTTCACTCATGTGAGAAGTTACTTGAGAGAAATGATAGTGTCTAGTTCATGAGATTTTGCTTTCGTTAATATTTGGATCAAACTCGAGAAGTAGTTTATTACTCTTTTAGTTTTCGCGTAAGTGTTTTCTTAAAATAATCTCTCTCATATTCTCTACAGACTCTGGACTATCAGTTTTGGAAACATAAACCCAACCTAACCTAACCTAACCTAACCTAACAACTCCAGACAGGTGACAAGATAGCATATGAGTAGATATATTCATTGATCTTAGCATCGAAATAATCGTGAAATGTGAAAATGTCTGAAAACTCGAACATCGACTTTCAGAAAGCCATTAAATATTCAGATATGTATATGAATTGATTTACATTCCTCAGAGTTCACATAAAAAACTCAGGGATGAATAAATCACACCTGTACATCTATCTGAATTGTACAACTGATGATTTTGTAGCATTTCTGAGATTAGATTTTTAGGATGCAGCTGAGTCGATAATAATCGAGAATGTCGCTATAAATTTCTCCACGCCACACTCTTTTTTTCTCGTGCCGCATACGCAAATCAAAAATCGCGCGTGTTGCGAATTCCCCAAGGACTTGCATACAGAAAATTCTCGGCATATCTCACAAGAACGCATTGCGCGGCAATTCGACCGCGAAAAGGAGGTAACCGCGCTGTGCGCCTCCCAACAAGTTCGCCATGTCGCCGCTACGCGCCACTAGCACGACTTGACGCGTGCGCATAGTCGCGCCATGGCTGCGAGGCGGTTATGCGGTCGTTACCATGACGACGTGTCCCCCTCTCCTCGACGTAGGGTGGGGAGCGCGTGTGTGGTGCGCGGAGCTCGAACAAAGGAGAAAGACGACCCGATCAGAGCACGCTACGACTACCGGAGGCAACCCGACTACGTTCTTTGCTGTGTTATTGTTTGGGACGGATATAAAGGATTGTTTGTTCTTGGTTTTTACTTGGTCGGCTGTGTGTTTGTCTGCAAAAGGAAGAGATCCCGATGAATGTACTCGGAATGTTACGTGAGCGAAATGGGATGTAAAGGAAGGGTTGCTTTTTGTGGAGGAACCTTCGTATGAAGCGGGTGTTTATAGATGAAGGTCTGTGGTCATAGAAGGACCTTTTAATGGTACGAGAAAATTGTTCATTGTTTACAGCGAAACTACTCGATATAAACCGATTTGCAGCTTGAGATAGGATTGTAGTGACTTTTTTCTGCCAAATAATGATGACAAGTGACAATTATTCCTAGTTTCGAACAAAAACTAACTTTCAGTCGGATTTGTTATTCATTTTGAATAAAATTAATCCCGGTTTTATGCCCGGTTTATGTTTGAAATTACCGCCAGAAGTTCTCATGTACTCAAAAATATATTATTGGAAGCCGAATCATTCATAACTTATTCGGAAATACCTCTTTTTCAACATAATTGGACCTAATTGGACCTAGTTGTTATATTTCCATTTTCAGAATGCTTAAAATGTAGAAAAAAATTAAAGATGAATCGATTACCTATATTATTGTTTGTGCATGAGGCTGTCGACACATCTGTCGAATGTCTCGCTAATTTTAGTTCATTTTTGAATATTCAACAACTCAAAAAGCATACAGAAAGACTGCTGGAACCTGCAATTGAGGTAATAATCGGAAGGACATTGGTTGATAGCTCAGAGCTTTTATAATTTCGATAGAACTTTATTCATCTCAAAGATCTAATGTATTTTCAAAAACGATACAATTTCTGGATATACTGATTGCGAAATATTAGTAAATTAGAAAATCATTCCACACTACGAATCGAAATGAATTGACAAATATGATATTTACAGATCTCTTTTAGCGACTAGTGACTGATGATATTGATTGAGGATTGACTTATTTCTAGATATAACAAAAACAGGCATCTATCTGTCTGTGCAATACCAGATATAATACAAGGTTATTATAAAGTGGTATTGAAAGTGAAAGAATAATGATATTACTTGACATATGACAGTAGCCTCATATTGATCGTTCAAAAGCTCGCCATCTCATGGAATGAATATTTTAGAATATCAGGGCAGCTTTTCAAAAACTCAACTTTCTTCAAAATAGTGTATGTCGCAATTTACATAGATCTTATCTATATGACTGATAACATTTATTGGATATGGCCATTGCAATATAATTTTTCAGCGAGTCAACCTTCTACCTGAGATATCGAAGCTTTTTTGAAGTGATAAACAACAAGAGAGTTGTCTACTTGAAAACAGATCCACGGTGACAATGATAAACTTTGTCCAGACTTTTGAAAATCAATGAGACAAAGAAGACACAACGTTATAAAAAAAATCACTCTCTCAGATGTAAATATCACATATGAGGCTTCATTGATCTTCATGTTTACTTTCAAAGTTTTGAGTTTGTCATTTATTTTTTGTACAATTTCTGGAAAATAAACATTATTATTATTATTTTAACATGTCTTGTAAGTGTTTGTTCGTTAACGTTATATACATATTCATTATTAAAAAATATCAACAATTACATTGTTTTTGCATTGGTTTGGGTACCAATATTGAAATAAACACGGTAAAATTGTATTTAACGATCGGTAACGTCGGTGACAGGATCAAGGCAAAAGTTATCCTGTCAAATAATCCTCAGAAAACTAATTCGCATGCAGTCTATCGGTAGCGAACATCCAGTTACTCACCAGGGCTGCCGAGGAAGACGGAGGAATAGAGGACGCCTCTCCGCGCAGCGTCGGTCGCTGCCCGGGCGTCGGTAGGCGATGACCACTCTCGTCGCGGACACCACTTCCCTGTAATGGAAAAACAATATACTACGCCGAAAGAGACGGACGACGGCCATTACCGCTAATAATCCCAATATATACAACATTCTACAAGGCCACATGCTACCTCTGGTAAAAGCACTCCGTTAGACGGGGTTGCCGGTCACCCCTTCTGCTTCAACATGCACAATTCGGTAATTGTTTATCGATTTTTAGGGTAACAAACACATTTTCTTCTCATTATCAGGAATAATGAATTCATTCAGCGGTGTTCTGCAGAGTGGGATAGAATCAGGAGTGGGATACGAACCAATTCAGAAGTGGGATAATGTGTAGAAGGAAACGAGCCAATATTTCAACAATTTTGAAAAAAAAAACATTTTTTGTACATGGTAGTATAAGACATTTATACAGTGCATTCCTTTAATGTCACCCCCTCCCTTTTATTTTTTGAATGTGTCAACTCAAAAAATTGAAATTTGTGATAATAAAATTAATGCATGAATACTTCATTTTGAAGTGAAATCGACAGATGAAACTTTCAAGATGGCGACTTGGCGCCATCTGATAAAAAAATTAAATTGAAAGGAGAGTCTGGTGACACATCATTTCGAAGCTCCTGACGTATACTTCACAACCCTAGAATATGAAATCAATAACTTCACCTACTACAAAATGGCGGAACATTTAATAATTTCCTGAATACAAACACATCAATATCGATATTTCTAGAAATATTCCTTTTTATCTGCCATATGTCAATTCCAACTACCCGATAAGGTATGTGAAGTTATTTTTTGTTTATAAAAACGTCAAAAAATATCAGTACGACAATGAACATCATTGTTCAGTTAGAATAATCTTATTTAGTTTTCGGTTTTACTAGTTTACTACGATATAAAATTCTCTTCAAAATTCGAAATTCCCGCCGTTTTTCAGTTGTCAAAACCATCATTTGTGTCAAACAGAATATTTCAAATCGTAGAAACTTTACAATAAACAAAGTAAACTGTTGAACAATAGTGATACATCAGTTGCTGAATTTGGACATCGACTTACGTTTGTATAGTTATCTTACTTCAATATACCGAGTGCAAGATATCATCAAGAGCTATGAGAAAAGGATGCTATGTGTGTTTCATTGCGCCATATATTGATGACCCAATAGTATTGTATATCGCAGAAAAAAAAATTATGAAAAGGGTATTATCTTCAGGATACCAAATTTATGTTTCTTCCTGCGCTAAAGTAGTTGGCATAACAACTGTATCTGACTGCTCAAATAGTCCAAAACGACACTTCCATTTATAATTTTGTTTTTTACAACTGTGAAGCTGTTATATAATTCATCATAGAGATGATGATATCACCTCGTGGATGAATTCGATACGCCAATCTTGTTTACAATTACATCCAAGCAAGAGAGTGAGATTATGTGCTAATGTTCAGCTACGAGCAGTAATTTTTCCTTGATGTCACGTTTATCAGTAATTTTTTGTGGAATTGATTCTCATGGTGATCTCATCGAATAATGGAAACATTATACAGAATCATTAGTTTGTATTAATATTTCATAATGGAATCGGGGTTTTGGGAAGAGGATTTAGAGAGAAAATCTAATATATTGGGAAACAAATACGTTGAATTAGTTTCAAACAAGAATGCTATAATGTTCAATATTGAAAAGTAGATGGTAGATGGAAAAATATTGAGCCACGTACATATGATTGAAAATGAATGACAATAAAAATTGTAGATTGAAATATTATGAACAATATACGGTTTCAAACATCGTTAGAATAAGTGTACAAATGAAATAACTAAGGTATAAAAATTGATATTTCTAGAGATACAAATAAAGAACTTATTTACTTTCAAAAATTTTGAAAAAGTATATAATTAAGAGAATCAATCAGCTTCAAAAGAAGCTAGAATGAAAATAGATTTGAGCTATAGTTTGTCGAAGTGAGATGAAGAATAGGGCTAAGGATATTGAAAACATTATTGACGTAGATGATGAAAAGGAGCGGCTCTAAAACAAATCCTTGAGTCCCTCTGCAAAACTTGCAAGTTGGAACGGTTTATATAATCGAATACATATAAAAACCACGATCAGTTGAATCGTATTTGAACATATGAGAGGTGAAGTTTCGTAGGATAAAGTACTAAGATCCACTAACGAGATCAATACGGGTTTTCAGGGTAATTTTTATAATCCAAGTTCAAAGATGGACATGAAAAACATTTGACGCTAGTTATCAACGTTTTTTATCAACTTCGTGACCTAGCTTGTTTCAGCCTGAATAAATACTAGTGCTGGAGCAGAAAATCTATACACTGTTTCTTTCGAATGTGGTGGATCTGGCCGACTGTTTAATAATAATAACAATATGCTTTATTGCTCAAAGAACATTAGGTCTTATTGACAAAGCTGCAAAGCTGTGTCATCGGAGAATAGAGTAAATTTTCCTTCCATATCGATACATGCTAAAGCGTTTATGTATAGCAGGAAAAGTATCGGTTCCAGTATTGAATCTTGTGGTACGCCATTTTTATTTCGCCTTCTGATGAGGATGATGAGGTTTTCACAATCTGACTTCTTCCTGTGAGATAATTTTGGAACTATTCGTGAGTAATTCCACGGATGCCATAGTGATATAGTATTTTTAGCAGTATTCCATGATCTACACAGTCAAAGGCTTTAGCAAAGTCACAGAACACTGCTGCTGATGACTATTTTTTATTATTGTTTCTATATTTCTTTCATTACTTTGAAAGAAAGTTATCACAGAATCAGGAAGGAAGTTTTGAAAGATAATATGTAAGTAATGTGTATAGTATCCACCTGGTGGAAGGTCTTCGACGATATTGTCTTAAATAGTAGAAAACTCAACAAAAATGTCACGTAATCTATTGCATCTTTCTTGTGTTAGTTGAAGTTTTGCTAATTGTTTATGATATTCCAACTGTCTTCAATAAAGACTGCAATAGTTTTGAATGATTTTGAGTGCAATGACTCCGTTAGAGTTTTTTCTTGTGGGGTTTTCTAAGTCAGAACAGAAATACCTACCAAGTTAGATTCAAGTAGATATTAGTGCTAAAAATCTCTTTATTTGACAGATTCAAAAAAATTCTGCGAGAATTATGTTGAAAATTGTCACAGGGTACTTAAATAGAAGTGGAGATTTTGGATAGCACGAGCTATAATTCTATATTGAATAAACTGTGTTTTTTTTCTGGATAGAAACAGTTTTGGTGTTGCAACGAAAATGAAAAAAGGTGCTCGAATAAAAAACGGATATTGATGGGATAATGGATAATTAACAAATGGAGTTTTCTTTGAGTGATTTTTTCTACAGGGATTTCAAACGCTGAACAATGTTTCACAGAAAAAGTAACCATTTTAACCTGGAAGAGTTTCAATAGTAACTGCTACTGGCAGCAGGAGCTGACACTGTACAGTCTGTAATTGTCCAGAAAACTGTTATTGGGGCCCCGAAACAATACAATTACCCCTCTCCCATACCGTAAACACTCCATCCGAGCTCTATTTAATATCGGCTACCCGGACTCATGGATAATCACCAAAGAACTCCAAACAACGCTTCCTACCCTTGGTATTTCATCCCTAAAGACAATTTGGAAGCCGGGACTCCCGTCGTAAAGGTAAATTGTCGAGTATAAACCAACGTAATATTGTGTTAGCGACCAAAGGGCTAATAGTAATCCCTACACATGGCTCGTAATGAAAGTGGGACATCATCTGACGTCGTCCAGGAGTTAGGGCTCCCTTCGTTGCAGCAGGCCGTGGTGGAGTATCGAACCGTCATCTGTTTATCATCGATTACCGGTCGCGTACAGAGAAACGCGTTGTCACTGTCGTTTATTTCCGCTTGGCGGATGTGTTCGAATATGTGCTTTCGGTAGTACATTCGTCGAAGATGAGTCCAAGTCATAAAAGTCAGACCCCCTTGATACCAGACATATTTGTATACTTACATGCCGGTAAATAAAAACATTATCCTGAGGTGGGTTAAAGGGCACGACAGGAGTAAAGGTGATCGCATTGCCGACTCTTTAGCCAAGGAAGCGGCTGGACTAAGAATTTTAGGACCCAGTCTACAGCCTGATGACTTCGATAGTTGCGGAACCAGCCAAATGTTACACCCATGCTCAATCCTCAAAGAGATGGGATCGAATTGAAGGATGCAATCTTGCCAGAATCACCTTGGGCAACCGTGGCAAGCTGGCGCCGAAGAAATATCTGGCGATCACCTGGAAAAATTTACGCTCAACAATAGGATTTCTGACTGGCCACCGTCAATTAAGGAAACACCTCCATAATATGGAGCTAGTGGACCTGTCCTCCTTCCTGGAAAGGACAGGATGGACGATGACCTAGGAGGAAAACTCCTCAGGAGGATGTACAATAGGTCACATGTGGCCTAAGTGATGTGGGCTCACCCTCCCTACTCTACAGATACAGAGATGCCAACTGAATTTTCGTTGTTTGTTCCTTATGACACTTGTACGTCGATCAGATATAATTGAAATTATCTTAAAAGTATGATTGAACTTGAAAAAGGTGTAGTTGTGATGCACTGTTTGGAACCTTTGATGAAGTAATGGATATTACTGGAGTTTTACTGGAGGAAGATTGAACTGTTTAATTTTCCTCTTGAAGATGATCACTTGGTGATCGAAACACGTGTCGAGGTGTTAAAATAACGGTTTGCAGTTGGGACAAAACTCCAAATAGTGTAAAAGGTGGTTTGGAGTTGAAAGAGAACCAAAATCAACTTCATATGGAGTTTTTAGATGATTGACATTTAAACAGCATGATAATTTGGACAAGATCCTCCGTAAAGTAGAACTGAAAGGAATAGCAGACGTTGGCGTTGGTTGGATGAGTCTTTTCAAGATATTTGAAAATTATAGGATTCAAATACAGGAAGGAGAATAATGGGCTCTGAGCCTTGTTGCATACAAAATAATTGAAAAAATATCATCATTTTATAAATCTGTTG